CAGGGCGCGATCCTGGAGACCCGGGATCGAATCCCACGTCGGGCTCCCGGTGCATGGAGCCTGCTTCTCCCTCTGCCTGTGTCTCTGCCTCTCTCTCTCTCTCTCTCTGTGTGACTATCATAAAAAAAAAAAAAAAAAAAAAAATTTAAAAAAAAAAAAAAAAAAACAGGTACTCAAATACTTGTTCACAAATGCTTACAGCAGCACAATTCACAATAGCTAAAAGGTAAAAACATCCCAAATATCTAGGAACATATGAATGGATAAACAAACTGTGATATGTATATACAATGGAATATTATTGAGCCATAAAAAGGAAAGGAGTACCGACACATCCTATAATTTGAATGTGATTCAAAAACACTATGCTAAATGAAAGAAGCAAGGCACAAAAGGTCATTTGTTGTATGTTTTATTTCATGCAAAATATCCAGAACAGACAGATCCCCCACACACAAAGCAGATCTGTGGTTGCCAGGGAGAGAAGAGGGAATGGGGCTGATTACATAATAGTTATGATGTGTTCTTCTGGGGTGATGAATACTTTTAAACTCTAGGTGGTGGTCCACAACACTGTGAATATTCTAAATGCCACCAAATCATATGCTTTGAAATGGTAAACTGCATGTTGTGTGAATTTCACCTCAATTTAAAGAAGAAAAAAACTTCTACTGTGTTTAAATTATGGCCCTAAATCAACCCTAAGCATCAGAGCTTCATACTTCAACTTCACTGCTTTAATCACCCAATAGAATCACTTCTACTAAATTGTACTCTGGCATTATGTATTTGGCTTGAACTGAGTAACATTACAAGTACTCGCTGAGTGAAAATCATTATTGTAGCCATTGGAAAAATGTTCATAGGATGCTGGCTTCCCTGTCACACAGTACCCTCTTCACATGAACCCACAGCGTATTTCCACTCAGGCCTCCATTCCTAAAAAGGTTCCTGGATAAATAGTAGGTTTTTAAACTTTATAGACACTGTGTTGCTTGACATGATTGCACTAGAGGTGTTTAAGGGAAACTGCTCCACTCATATCACCTTCTGACAAATCTCCAGAGTAGGCAGCAAGTCTTTAGATCTTCTCAAGTGTCTGAACCAGGAGAAAAAAAAGAGAAATGAGAAAAAGCAAACACCACCAGCACGCTGATGGCAGAAGACTGTGGTGAAGGTCCTCAAACTCCTGTAGCTCAGGCCTGCAAACACTCTGGACCCCCAGCCAACTTGGGTCTCAGAGAGGCTCAGCCCTGGCAGGACACTTGCTCTTAAATCAATGTTGTGTTTCAACTTGTGGCACCCCTTAAGTTGAGCCAGCTGTACCCAGGAAGCTCAGATGTGAATTTATGGTCCATATTCTATAATAGGAGTACTGGTTCATGCACTTCTATGGGCTTCAACTTGTAGTGGTCCCTGACTTTCACCTTCACAATTTTATCTTTCTTTTGTATCCTATTTCTACTAAACACCCATTTTTTTAAGGACAAAGTGGAATATAAATAATAGGAAAACGAGTGTCATGTTACCGATCTGTATGGAAAGTAAGCAATCAAGGAAGAAAGGAAAGAAAGGAGGGAGGGAGGGAGGAAGGATGGAGCAAATCTATCTGTACATATAACTGCAATCCCCTTCTATGCAGACCCTCCATTTGAGTAATAATATTTAAGATAAATTCTTTAACTTTCCTCTTTTTTTTTAAGATTTATTTATTTATGATAGACATAGAGAGAGAGTGAGGCAGAGACACAGGCGGAGGGAGAAGCAGGCTCCATGCCGGGAGCCCGACGTGGGACTCGATCCCAGGACTCCAGGATTGCTGAGCCACCCAGGGATCCCCAAATTCTTTAACTTTCCTTATAAGATACCTCATTTTTCAATCCATCATTTGAAATGACAGCACTTATGAGAAACTTTAATCTAAGGTTATCTACTGCCCAGACTGGGGGAAATTACTAATACTTGTAAGAGAACTAGTCTCTGGTATAACTAACTGACTTCTCCATTTTATCATATACTTTTATCCTTATAATGGTTTTATTGTCAGCTACAAATTCATTTTGAAAATAAGCAAAGTTAACCAAAGAAAGAATAATTCAATGGTCATTACTTCTTTCCTTTCTCCCTTTCCAACCCCGCTTCCTGCATCACCATTAGAATTCTGCTCAATGTGTACAACTTTTTAATCAATGGGCACAATCATCTCAAGCTGTATCTTAAGAGATGTACAATAGTGCTGAAGAACAAAAAAAGAACGTGATGAGATTAAACAACACTTCTAGGGACGCTGGGGTAGCTTAGTGGTTGAGCAACTGCCTTTGGCTCAGGTTGTGATCCTGGGATCCTGCAATTCAGTCCCACATCAGGCTCCCTGTAGGGAGTCTGCTTCTCCCTCAATGTCTCTGCCTCTCTCTGTATGTCCCTCATGAATAAATAAATAAAATCTTTAAAAAGAAACAGAGAATCAACAGAGAAAATTAATGAAATCAAAAGCTGGGGGCAGCCCGGGTGGCTCAGTGGTTTAGCACCACCTTCAGCCCAGGGCGTGATCCTGAAGACCCAGGATTGAGTCCCATGTCAGGCTCCCTGCATGGAGCCTGCTCCTCCCTCTGTGTCTCTGCGTCTCTCTCTCTCTCTTTCTGTCTCTCATGAATAAATAAAATCTTAAAAAGAAAAAAAAGCTGGTTCCTTACTGACATTTCAAAAATTCAGAAACTCTTAGCCAGATTAAGAAAAAAGAGGACACAGATTAGTGACATTAGAATGAAAAAGGGGTCATCATTACTGATCCCAGGACATTGAGGATAATAAAGGAATACTGTGAACTAGGTCCACAGATGGAATAACCTAGATGAAATGGACCAAGATCCTGAAAGACACAATCTAACCAAAACTCAAAGAGAAATAGATTGTCTGAATAGGCCTATATCCATTAAAGAAATTGAATCAATAATCTTCCAAAAAAAATAATAATTATCTTCCAAAATAGATACGCCAGGCCCAGATGGGTTCGCTGGTGGATTCTACCAAACATTTAAGGAAGAAATTATATAAATTCTCTATAATCTCTTCCAGAAAATAAAAGTAGAGAATACTTCCTAACCCATTCTAGTATTAAAAACCAGACAAAGACATTACAAGAAAGAAAAACTGTAGACCAGTATCTCTAATGAATAGAGATACAAAAATCCTCAACACAATATTAGCAAATCAAGTTCAACAATCTATAAAAAAGCATGTGGTGCAGAAGGATGAGCAACAAGCTTGGGCTCAGAAGGCCTGGGTATGAGATTCAATCTGTCACATGCTATTTAACATCATTGGGCAAATCACTGAATCATACTTTATCATAATTGACACCTGCCTATCTACTGTATAGTAATAAATCGAATGAGAAAAAATGTGCACAACCACATCAAATTATATCATTACTCCAAATTAGAAAGCACTAACTGAATGAACAGCAACAATGATACTCCGAATGACAAAGGTCAACGGCAGGAGTTACCAAAATCAGAGCCACAGGTTGGCTCTTGGATCGGCGTCAAATTCACCGTGTTATTCATGGCAATAGACTATAGCTCCCGGCCTAAGCAGGCACCCAGAGGATGCTCAGGCACCTCCAGGACCTTAACAAACTCCCAGAAAAATGACTTAAAGAATCAGATCCTACAGACAGTAGCAGGCACCGCACCTCTCAGGCACCACCTAAGTACTTGACAACACTGCCATCCTATGCTTTTGCAGAAACTGCATTTATCTTCCACTAAGCATTCTGGCAGACTGCTTTACCGGAACCTATTACATAGCCACCAATTTATTTGAAAAAGGGAAGAAACAGATACACACAAAAGAAATTCATTACCCACGGGATATGTCACAGTTAATGGTAATTAATCAAACTTTTTTTTCCCTTCGTGTAGAAAACCAGCCACATAAATAACCATATCGGAGAATCAATGGAGCATCTGTCTCATCCTTTAAAAAAAAAAAGAAAAAAAAACAACTAGCAGAATGCTGCTCAGATTTTCTGGTATGCCTAAAAAAAACCATTTTCAGAGACAGGAGATATATTTTCAATTGAAAAAATAAATCTGTAATCTCCTAAATTTGTTTCCTATACCATAATTACATCCTTTTCTATATATGTACAACACCTATTAACACAGGTGTACTTGATTGTAAACACATATTAAAAAAAAAATTTAGGCTAGTGCCATAAGATACAAAGATAAAAGCTCAGGAATTTCCTGCGGTGTTTTAGGAAAGCAAATTTCATTTGCAAATATTTCTGTACATCCAAATAAAATAACTATACTTATAAAAATGTCTAATCTTCTGAACTCCTATCTCCTGAACAAAATGAAGGAAAAATTATGCCCTCCATAAGTAGCCAATTTATTCTGTCAATGCCCTAAATCTGTGTGTTTTTACTGCCTTTATTGCTGGTAGTATCACCCAGATTCAAATTTCACATATTTTGCTATCCCTTCTAAAACTAAACTCCATATGAATCTTCATTCCTATGTGCTTCAGAAAATCAATATTTGCACAGAGATACTTATTTAACCAAGTGCCATTTGAACCAATATCCATAACAAACACCCAGGGGGCAGCCGCAGTACTTTTCAGTACCTCAGCAGCTTTGGTCCGCTAAAGATACCTTAAACGTAAAAGCTATACATTACTATATCTATGGTGAGTAACTTATTTGAAAAATATACAATTTAACACTACCAACTGTTTCATTTAAGTTTCTCTGATTTAAGGTATTTCAAAGAAGAATGCTTATACTTTTCTTTCTAAACATATTTTCCAAAAAAAAAAGAAAAAAAAAACATATTTTCCTTTGAATTCCCTAAAAATGTATTTGACTGGATGAAGTCATTAATTCCAAGACCACAATAAATACTACTAATAATAGCTAAGGCTTCAATAGCATGTACAATGTGGCCTGCACGGTTTTAAGTTACCTTACATATAAACTAATAAAGGCATACCTCAGGAACGTTGTGGGTTCAGTTCCAAACCACTGCATTCAAGTTTCTGTCACAATAAAGCGAGTCAAATGAACTTTTTGGTTTCCCAGTGCATATAAAAGTTATGTTTACAGTATACTGTAGTATTTTAAGTGTGCAATAGCATTACATCTAAAAGAATCAATGTGCATATCTTAATTTAAAAATACTTTATTACTAAAAAATGCTAACCATCATTTGAGCTTCCAGTGGGTCATCATCACTGATCACAGATCATTGTAACAAATAATGAGAAAGTCTGAAATACTGGGAGAATTACAAAATGGGACACAGAGATATGAAGTGACCAAATACCTTTGGAAAAATGGTGCTGACAGACTTGCTTGCTGGCAAGGTTGCCACAAACCTTCAATTTGTAAGTAACACAGTTACCTGTGAAGAGCAATAAAATGAAGCACAATTAAACGAGCTATGTCTGAATAGTCCTTAGAACAACCCTGTGGGATAGGCATACTATTATTCTCCCTATCTCACAGCCAAGGAAACTGAGGCAGGGAGAGAGGAAGTGACTTGCGCCAGGTGACAAGGAGCAGAGCCGATTGAACCCAGGCAGGCTGTCTCCAAAGTCAGTATCTTCAGATTAGATTACACAGCATTTCTTCGGATAGATTAGCAGATTTAATTTTTTTAATAGGTAGATTTTATGTGAAGAGAATAACTGATCTTGATCTAGTCCAGGGGGAAAAAGGAGATTTTTCTACATCTATTAACAACAAATAAAAATGAGGAGGTTCTGTCTCACGATTTACCTGATGATTGCCTTCTTTTACCGAGTTGCTAGCACATCAAAATGGTCCTCGTGGGGCCCAGAAAAAATAAAGAGTGGCACAAAGTCCACGAGGATGCTAATCAGCAATCTCTATATGCTTCCCTCTTCTCTCTGCACAAATTTTAAAGGTTACCCGTGTCCTCCTGGACATCTTCTCTGTTGGCAATTACAAGTCATTAAAACAGTCTCTGATAATGTCCTGATAGTATCCATAAAGTCTCTACATAAAGATTCTTCTTTATAGCTAAAGACCTATAAACAGTAGCAGGGTTTGCTCTGTGACTTCCAATCATCAAAATGAAAGATTTCCAGAAGAAAATGGGGAGAGGGAATTAGAATCTGGGTGGAGAATGGAGGGAAATGCATGTATTTCTAATTGGCATGCATCAGGGCTTTGTGGCCATTTTATAACTACACTTACTTTATGAAGTCATATATCAAAACCCAGTCAGAAATAACATGGTCAAGGAAAATGAGGTTGTTAAAGAAAATGAAAGATGTAGAATAATCTGAACCATCAGCTGGACAGGTTCCATTCAGCTGGCTGGACTTGTACTGGGAAGAACTGGCTTCATGCAGAAAAGAGAGAAGTTCAAATCAGTAGGTAAGCCACAGGACCCAGGATTTCCACCCAGAGAAGGCAGCAAAGCCACATGGATAGAACAGGTGCCAGGACTCCAGTTCTTAAGGAATAAACAAAAGAAAACGGGGACTGGGACTCATATATACAGAAACGGTCAAGTTACAGTCTTTCACTTTCCCTGGCCTTGCACTCACCAAAGGAGGTTAGAAATCTTCATAACTTCTGCCCCAATACAGAAACACATCTTCAGACCCTCTATGCACTGTTGTTCTCTTCATCTACACCTCTCAATGAGAACCAGGAAGGATATAATAATCACTTCTACTTACTGCTTAATAGTTTTCTAAACCTGTTTTAAGTTCATACATTTGCTTTTTAGCATTTTACTTTGAGTTGAAGATTACAAGGTTTTATCTTTTCATGAAGATTCCAATGTGTAGAAAAATACTGAAGACAAAGAGAAGTAAATAGTGAAATCCCCCTAGACCGAGTCAACCTTATTTCATTCTCAAGGATACTCAAGGAATAGAGCCAAGGCCAAACAACATGGCCATGCCTATCCAGACTGCCCTCTTCTTTGCTGGAAATGAGGTTGGGGTAAAATATCTTTACAACTGGACTCTTCCAAGTCCTGAAGCAACTATTCCCTAAATTCTGGTAGGTCCTTCCTCCCTATAAAACAGGAATCCCACGGAAAAAGGGGCTTGCTGCAATCATTCTGCAGAGGTGGTCTCTAAATTCATATATATACCAAACACTACTGTAGCCCAGGGTTTCTAAACCTCAAGACTACTGATATTGTTAAAGAGAAAATATTCTGATACATGGCAAACCAGTAAGGAAGATTTTACTCAGGACTATGACAAAAGGTTTCAGGGTAATAGAAATAGGAGAGAGAAATCAGGGCAGCCCCGATGGCTTGGCGGTTTAGCGCCACCTTCGGCCCAGGGCGTGACCCTGGAGGCCTGGGATCCAGTCCCATGTCAGGCTCCCTGCATGGAGCCTGCTTCTCCCTCTGCCTGTGTTTCGGCCTCTCTCTCTCTCTCTCTCTCTCTCTCTCTCTCTCTCTCTCTCATAAATAAATAAATAAATAAATAAATAAATAAATAAATAAATAATAAATAAATAAATAAATAAATAAATAAATAAATAAAATCTTAAAAAAAAAAAGGGAGAGAGAAATCAGGGTCAACCCCAAATTCAGAAAAGACAAGTGGGAATTTCTATCAACCCACAAGCAGAGTGAGGGATTCAGCAGATGGGAAATTACTAAGACAAGATATCAAGGATGGAGGATTCTTACTAAACTGATCTAACAGGATTCTTTCTTGCTGAACACAGATCAGAGTGATTAGATATCAGGGGTGGGGGGGTATGGAATTTGATCAGGAATCAGGGGTGATCAGATATTAAGGACGGGGGAATTTTCACTAAACTGACTCAGCAGAATTCTTGCCAAAAATGACTTAGGCAGGCCAAGAACAGGCTTGGAGACAAGCAAGGTGGAGACCTAGTCAACAAGAAGGCTCAGAGGAGCCTAACTAAAGTTTAGGCAAGAAGAGTGTCTTTGTCAACATTTTGGATCAGTCAATCCTTTGTCTTGAGGGACCATTCTGTGCATTGTAGGATGTTTAGCAACATCTCTGGCCTCTACTCACTATTTGCCAATAGCATCCACACCCCCCATAGTTGTGACCACCAAAAATGTCTTAGGACATTGCCAAATGTCCCCTGGTGGCAAAACTGCCTCTGGTTGAAACTACTGCTTTAGACCAAGGGTTGGCTGTTTATATTAAATATAAATATTTTAGGCCCTATAGGATACATACACAGTTGATTCTTGAACAACATAGGTTTGAACTACATGGGTCAACTTATATGTGGCTTTCTTTTCCAATAAATATAGCACTATGACTGTATTTTCCCTTCCTTATCGTTTCTTAATAACAGTTTCTTTTCTCTTACTTTAAGAACACAGTATATAATACATATAACATACAAAATGTGTGCTAATCATCTGTTTATGTTATCAGTAAGGCTTCCGGTCAATAGGCGGCTATTAGTAGTTAAAGTTTCAGGGAGTCAAAAGTTACCCATGGGTTAGAAAATCCTGAGCAGAGAGATCTGTGCCCCTAACCCCCTACATTGTTCATGGGTCAACTGCTTTTTATACAAAATCCTGTTTTCATGTGGTTTTTTTTTTTTTTGAAGAGAGAAAGAGTGTGCATGATGGGGTGGGGGCGTGCAGGTATAGAGGGAGAGAGAGAATCTTAAGCAGGCTCCATGCCCAGCACAGAACCCGAATGGGGGTTCAGTCTCACATGCCTGAGATCCTGATCTGAGCTGAAATCAAGAGTTGGACACTTAATCGACTGAGCCACCCAGGCATCCCCTCTTTTTTTTTTTTCCCCAACCATTTAAAAACACGTAAACTATTCTCAGCAGGTAGATTATTTAAAAAAACAAAACCAAAAACAGGTAGCAGGCCAGATTTGGTCCAAGGGCCACTGTATGCCAAACTCTACTTTAACTATTACCTTTTCAAATACATATAGGTAGTATTATATTTAATAAAATATCAATTTACTTAAAAGTATGAATATAAAATAATTAACATTATTTTCTCAATTGAGGGAAAGAGAATTAGGAGCAAAATCTTTAGCAGCCCACAGACTGTTTTTACATTAGAAAATTATGCTCATTCTCAACAGTCTGTAGAAAGCCATCCAAAAAACATTCCCACAAATCTGCTCTTTCCCCACCAAACATAATCTATTCCTAGGTCCCCAAATCCCCAACCACATAGTGTTGATTTGGAGGTTTGTTCTTGTTGTTTTTTAACTGACACTACTTTGATTTGCATTTAACATGTTTTTCATACACCCTCTTCTTATCTAACATTCTGGAATGCACCTCTAAAATTAATTTATTCCTTGCTACAGAGTCTGTGAATATGAAAGAGGTCACTGGGACACCTTATTTGCTTATGGGTCACTCACATGAACCCATATGTTCCACAATCCTCTCATTTTTGCCTCTAGAAACAAACATATACTCATATACTAATAGAATTGCCCTGGAAATCATGACAAGTTCAAAAGGACCCTAGGACTACACACAAGTTATACTCCAATCCAGCTACTAAATGTGAGAATTTAAGTTTTGTGGCACTTTTGTTTTTAACAACTACAACAATGCCACAGGGGAAAATAAAAAGACCCAGCAACTTCTGTTTTCTCAATTTACTAGTTTTCATTAAGTAAGGTCTAAATTATTAGGAAAAATAGAGAAAGGAAAGGGGAGGAGGGCGGGGGGTGGGGGTGAATGGGTGACGGGCACGGAGGGGGACACTTGACGGGATGAGCACTGGGTGTTATTCTGTATGTTGGTAAATTGAACACCAATAAAAATTAATTTATAAAAATAATAAAAAAAAATAGAGAAAGGATCTCTAAACAAATTTAGAGGGGGTGCCTGGATGGCTCAGTCGTTTAAGCATCTCCCTGTGGCTCGGGTCATTAACTCAGGGCCCTGGTACTGAGTCCTGAGTTGGGCTTCCTGTTTGGCAGGATGCCTGCTTCTCCCTCTCCCCTGGCCTGCTAATGCTCCCTCTCACTCACTATCTCTCTCTCTCTCTCTCTCTCATAAATAAATAAACAAATAATAAATAAATAAATAAATATAGCTAGCTAGCTATCTTTAAAAAAATACATTTAGAAAAACATGTCTAATATGTAAACCACAAACTCTATAGTATACATCTGCCATTGTTTACTCTTCTTTGATTAAAACATCAATATACAACTTCACCTTTGATGCTGAGACCCTAAATAGCAAAGCAGCAGTTGATCATCAAGAGAAGACATATTCTTTATATTCAACTGAATTCCTTTTTAAAATCATAAAAACAAGATGTTGTCATTGCAAAGAAAGTATAAGAAACATAAAGATAGTAAAAGTCACTGAAAGCACAAGAGATAAACTATTTTTAAAGCTTTAATGTCTTTCCTTCTAGTCTTT